CAGGTCTAAGCAGAGACGTCGAATTCAGAAGAAGCTAGCCATGAAGGTGCAGGATGAAGAAAGAAAAGAGAGGTTGGAGGTTAAGGGACGATATGCTCACGTGCCCAGGAGTAAGGGGAAACCAAGAATCCTTTCTAGAGGGAGAGGGGACATTTTAGAATTGTGATTTAAGGCCTAAGAGGTCAGCAGGGACCAGGTGACAGAGAGCTCTGTGGATCACGTCAGAAGGTCTGGAAAAATCCCAGAGCGTTAGTACTTGGAGGATGTTGATAATTTTGAGTTTAAGAACAGATCCTTCTGCAGGAAGAAGCTGTGAGATGGGACAAGACAAGACTTTCTTCGGCCTGCCCTGAGGTACGTACAGCTGAGGGAGGAGGGAAATGGACGGAGAAGGAACCCACAGAAGCTGATCACTGATTGGAGGTGACCGGATGGGAGAACTGGCTGTCAGTCATAGCTTCTTTCTTCAGCAGACTGGGTCAATGACTCTGTATTGCAACACCATAGAAAAGAAACCACGGAGAGGGAAGCCAACATGTGGGGGGAAGTGGTGGGTCAGTCTTAAAACACACGGAATCTGAGAGCCTTGTGAAATGACTGACGGACCTGCTCAGAAGGTCATCTGGATGAGTTCTTCCCTAACAGGTGTCGGTTTTGTTCGGGGTAACAGCCCAGTTCAAACTCTCTCCTAGGCTCTTCTGCCAGTTTCCCCAAGCGCCATCATTGTCTCTGGTCTCCCACAGTTGCTTTTGGCCAAGTATTTCTAAATGGATATCCCCGAGTGAAGGTTCTGGAAGGGATACTGTTTTCCTGATGACAAAGAACAGGCCCGGCTTGGTATGTGCCTTTTGCCCCTGTCCTTGCCCTTCCTTCCTTCCTCCTGCCTCATCACAGTTGGATGCTTGCACAAGCAGCAGTGATCTCTTCTGACCATGGGGCTGAAGACCAAGCAGACGCTTTGCATTGGGCAGCTGAGGTAGAAACTTGGGCTGTCTACTACTTGAGGGAAAAAAAAAATCCTTTTTCTTTGTTTGCTTTGGGTTTTACTGTATAACCACCCACGCTGTCTTATAGACTAGCTCTGTAGACCAGAATGGCCTTGAACTCACAGAGAAGCCACCTGCCTCTGCCTCCTGATCGCTGGGATTAAAGGCTGTGCCACCACAGCCAGCTAAAAAGCTTTTTTTTTTTTTTTTTTGCTGTTAGGGTGCTGGAACTATTTTTCTGTCATTCGTAGCAAAAAAATATGATCTTAATTGATTCAAGAGCTGAGGCCCTGGAGACAGATGTGGGTAGGAGATTGAGATTCAGGCCGGCATAGGGGTGAAAACTGACAGCTCTGAGGAGGGTGTGGATAACAGGCTCCTAACTGCACACACATGCACCTGGGCCTTTGAGAAGGCTGGCGAGAGGACGCATTCCAGTTCGTAGAGCACAGATCCTTAGGTTGTTTGCACATTGCTGACATTTCTATGATCTCATTCAAAATGAAACAATCCTTGTGGGTTATTTAGTGATTACTCAACCCCCGGTGACATTATTTTGTTATCCTGCTCAAGGTGCTTAACCAAAGGTTTGCGAGCTCTGGTCCTATGTAGTGATTATCTCCCAGGGTGGCTCATTTGGGGCTCAGGAGCTGATCTGGGAACCTCTGCTCGTCTCCCCTTCTCACAAATCAGTGAGCCCTGGAGGTCTGTCCCTGAAAGATGGTGCAAGAATTCCCCAGGGCTATGCTGCATCCTAACAAAGTGGCCAACGTTTGTGAAGATTATTATCACCGCCCCTTGACTTGCCTGGTTCTTCTCTTCTCCCCATCTTGCCCCACTGTAAGACTCCCTCCGCCCCTGCCCACCACAGACCTGGAAACCTATTCTGCCTAACCCACAGATTTGGCCATTTTACCCGCCCCCCCCCTTCTGTTCTTGTTAGTACAGTACATAGCAAGGATCTCATTACAGTATATTAGGCCAGGGCTTTCAATCCTCGGGCTAATAGTTGTTCTTACACACAAACGCAATGCTCTAAATGCCTCATTCTGCTCCCCTTTCTCCTGCCCTTTCAAGCCCTCGCAGGCTGTGTTCTTGCCCAGAAATGTCTCTCCACACATTCTCTCACAGACTGCCCAACGCAGAGCAGCCAGATTTATTTTCTGCTTTTTCCAGCAGCTGGGAATGGCTAGAGCCCAACTCCCCGTCTTGTCCTTCTCGCTTAACCCTTCCTTCGAGTTCCTTACAAACCCTGTTGATTTCTGTGTGCGAACAATCTGGAAACTGCGCCCCCCTCTTCATCCGCAGCGCTGTTCACGCGTCCAGGAGCTCCGGGTCTTGCCCAGTCGTGTTGATCTGCCCTTCCTTCGGCAGACGTAAGCCACATTAATGTTATCTGCCCTCCCTTGATCAATATAGCTAGCTACATCAAGCTCTTGCTCAAAACCCATTGGGCTCCAAACAAAATTGCTCCTGCAAGAATGCCAGGCCTTGTTTCCCCATACCAGGTGGGGAGCGGAACCCAACCCCGTGCTGGCCCTTAGAGAGCCCGTGGTCTTCTTATCTGCTCAGCCCCTAGAAGAACAGCTGGGCACAGGAGATCCAAATATGGCCCTCACACTAGACCACCTAGGTCCCAGCCTTAGCTCAGGTGCTTGTTATCTGGGTGTCCTAGGGAGAAATGTCTAACTCACCAGGTCAGTTTCACTATACGGATCAAGGCAGTGCTTTGTAGGACTGTTAGATCTCAAAACTCTCGGAGCATGTGATTGTAAGTATTAGGGGCTATGCTGGTTACAGCCATTTGGCCCCACTGGGTACGTATATCTGTTCTGTCTTCTTCAATTGCCTACAACACCATCTGACACCAGTAGATGTTTATTAAGCGTTTATTGCAAAGTGAATTTGCTAGCTCACTTAGGCAGGGTGTCTTGTCAGATTCCACTTTGGCAGTTAAATTAGTCTCAGGCTGAAATCCGGGACCTTTGCGATTCCACTCCGCATCCCCCACCCCTGAGCTGAAGCCTTGGTTTCTAGTAGAGGTTCAATTCATTTTTGCTAGGTCTTGTGTAACATGATCTTGTGTGAGTGTATGGCTTGCATGTGTGAATAAGTGTGTGTATGCAGACCAATGGTAAACTTCAGGTGCCATTCATATTTCATATGGAGGAAAAATGGACTATGGAAAATCTTCTTCCCTCCCTCCCTCCCTCCCTCCCTTCCTTTCTTGAGACAGGGTTTCTCTGTGTAGCCCTGGCTTTCCTGGAACTAGTTCTGTAGACCAGACTGTCCTCGAACTCAGAGATCTGCCGGCCTCTGCCTTCTGAGTGCTGGGATTAAAGCTGTGTGCCACCACCACCTGGCTTCACAAATAAAGGAAGATACAGATGTACCCTGACTTACAATGGATGACCTCTGATAAACCCACATGAATGATAAACCCTTGTGACTAATGATCTCTCTGTTTTTTCTTTTCCCTTTGGTTGTGGCTCATCTGCCTCCCTTAGAAAACAACAACTGTATAATTCTTGATCTCTGCTCTTCGTTTCGTACAGTGTGGCCTGGCAGACTCTTGCAGGCTGGAGCTCAAAGTATGGAAAGCAAGGCCTCTATTTGCAGCATCATGACTATAGAACAAGAATGAAGGGCAAAGGGGCTCTTGGGTGTGAGAGTTAGGGAGGTCTTCAGGAAGCTGGGTTTTAAAGGAACGGCGGGGAGCTGGCCAAATTCAGAAGCAAAGGAAGGACCATGGAAGCTGAGCAGCATCTTCCTGACTTGGGGAGAGTTCACTGAAACTGAACACAAAAGGCAACAGAATGTGCCTATTATTTTTAAATTTTTACCTATTATTACTGTGTGTGTGTGTGCGTGTGTGTGCACACGTGACAGACATGTGTGCCATGTTGCTTGCATGGAGGAGGTCAGAGGACAACTTTGTGAAGTCTGTTCCCTCTTTGCATTTTTACATGGTTCCTGAGATAAGACAGCCTACCAGGCTCACATGGTAAATGTCTTAGTCAACCCACTGAGCCATGTCACAGGCCTGTGTTTTCATTCTTTTTTTTTTAATATTTATTTATTTATTTATTATGTATACAATGTTCTGTCTGTGTGTATGCCGGCAGGCCAGAAGAGGGCACCAGACCTCATTCCAGATGGTTGTGAGCCACCATGTGGTTGCTGGGAATTGAACTCAGGACCTTTGGAAGAGCAGGCAATGCTCTTAACTTCTGAGCCATCTCTCCAGCTCCCCTGTGTTTTCATTCTTAATAGTCCAATTTGGAGACTGAGGTACGTATGTATATTCCAATCCTTATGTTGGAACAGAGGGAGGCTAGGTGGTCGACAAGGGAGTCACGGAGTCAGGCTCACTTAAGAAGGCAGGAAACAACACGCATAGACGCCCAAAGGGAAGCCACAAACTTCTAGTGCTTTATCCAGTATTTACTTTTAAAGAATGCCAACACCTATTTTTTATTCTGTCCATTCTGAGTGGTTGCCCCCTTCCTTTTTTCTCTACAGGACACTCAGAGTGACTTCCCAGTAATCGCCGGAGCTGGCTAGGTAGGTGCTCTTTTTCGTCTCCTCCTTTTGAATTTGTGGCCAGAGTCCAGACACTGAGGTGCCTCACTGTGCAAGTTTAATCTAGTCCCGGGCTTGACAGAGAAAGATTTCATCTCCTTCTCGCCCCAATGAAACCAGACCGCCCACACACTAATAGAGGCTTGGTCGTGTCCAGACCGAAAAGTGGGTGCTAGACGCCGTCACCCACAAGGGCGTGTCAAGATCGGCCGGACTCCCCACTTTCCCAACTCCTCCCGTGGATCACTACTCACCGGGGCCCAGGAGCGACAGGGTCACTCACCAGGCGCCCTCTGAATGGGCCCTGGGAGCCTTCCCTGGACGCGGTGGGCGGGGCCGTGTATAAAGGGGGCGGTCCTGAGGCGTGGTGGGCGGGGCCTTCAGCGGGGCGGGTCCCGTGACGGCTCTAGCCCCGCCCCTGCCCTTCTGGTTCGGGAGGAGGGCGCCGGAGAGCGCGCGTTGCCTGAGCCGGCCCGGGAGCGGCCGAGCCGAGTGTGCTGGGCGTCGGCGCGATGGCTCCGGCTGGGGACCGCGAAGGCTACTGGGGCCCCACGACCTCCACGTTGGACTGGTGTGAGGAGAACTATGCGGTGACCCTGTTCGTCGCCGAGTTCTGTGAGTCGGGGCCCGAGACCGGGGACGGAGAGAGGGCGCGCGCCGAGGGGCGAAGACGCGGGCGAGTGAGGAACGTGGAGGGCAAACCTGGCCGCCGCCACGAAAGGCTCCAGGCCCGGCCCGGGAGCGGCGGCGGCTGGGCGTGCGCGATCGGAGGGGGGAAGCCGGGGAGCCGACGAGGCCTGCCCGGTATGCCCGGACTGGTTTCAAGGGGGGGCCTTCGGGTCGGGGACGGAAGGGACGTGGGAGCCGCGCCTGGACCTCAGAGGAGAGAGCGAGGCGCGCGGCTGGGAACGGGAGTTCCTACCTGAGCCCTGAGCGCGGCTGCGGCCAGGCCGGGCGCTGCCGGTCCCGAGGTCTCTGCCGTGAGGGCCCTGAACGCCGGCCCGACTGCTGCCATCCGCCTCAGCCATCCGGGAGGGCACCCCTGGGGGACGCTGACGGGCTTCGTCCTCCCCGAGCCTGGGAAACTCTTCAGGGCCCTTCCCGTCCTCTCTCTCCGGTTCTCGTTAGACCTCGCTCACCTCCAGGGAACAGTTACCGTTTCTCCAAGCCGAAGCCCCCGCCCCCCGCCCCCCTTCACCCTCACCCCGGTGTCTGCAAGTGCAGGGGATCGCTGTTCATCTTGCCCCAAAAGTGAAAGCCGGAGCAGCTAATCACTACCTTCCTGCTCCAGCCACTCTCCCCAAAGCACGAGAGACTTAAGTCTCCTTGCTACCTTCTGCGTCTAGCGCATCGGGCTTTCTAGGGGTTAATGGTCATCCGAGGACACTCATTTCCATGAATGCACCTTCAGAGACCGCGATTTGCTGCTGCTAGACCAGCATTGCTGGCCCGGTTTGGGGATATATTCTCTCTCTCTCTCTCTCTCTCTCTCTCTCTCTCTCTCTGTGTGTGTGTGTGTGTGTGTATTTCCTAGATGATTATTTCTCGCACGCTAGAAAGAAATCTGCCACTTCTTCCGTCCAGTTTGGTCAGCTTTTGCGAGCACGGTGTTTGGTCATTCTTTTTTCTTGTTGTTTGTTTTTGGCAAGCAGCTGAGAACCGTCTTTGGTTGCTACCGTCTTCTTTTGAACGGGACCCACTTTACTAGGCCACGAGGGAAAACTCTTCTTAGCTCACATTCCCATTCTCGAGTCCTTCTCGAGGGCGAGTTTCATGTGAGATGATCCTGCAGCGAGTCTTGACCGTTTTCAGGATGTTAGTCCCATGCCCTTGAGGCCATGATGGAGATGGAGCATCACTTTCTCTGCATGACTAGTTTAAATGAATAGTTTTTGTACAGTAAAGGAGAAGATGGGCAGAGTCATTATTTATAGGCTAATTACTTGGCAATCCAAACATCGACAAAGCGAGCCTTTGGCCAGTTCGTTTTTAGATCACTTTGGCAAGACTACCAGAGGCTCATGACCACCAGGGAGACTTAAAATCATGCTTCTCTGAACTGGAAGTTTGTAGCCTTTTATTTTTCCCCTCTCAGGAGTCTTCAGATGTTGGATGGGCTGGAGGTTTACACACTTCCTCTAGAATGTAGAATTAGGTGCAGTGGGTGGAAGAAAATCACTGGAAGGGGAAAGGCTTTTGCTCCGGCACAAGGGAAGACATCCTAACCAGCGATGCCGTCTCGGAACAGGTTGTCACAGAAAGTGCTAACATAGGCATTGCTCACCCAAGTCATGTATTTTAAGAGGAATTGTAAAGGACTTAGCTCTATTCACTTTTTTGTTTTTTGTTTTTTTATATATATAGGCAATAAAGACTTTTGGTTCAGAACCAAGGCTTTAGATTAGAATCAAAAGAGAAAACTGGCCGTTGAGTCATGCGGACTGTGAGAGAGGAAGATACTGTATTTTGGCAAATAGCTCCAAGAAATGGGGAAATGGTTCTACTTCTTCATGTGCTCAGAAGAGGAAACGGAGTAGACTGAGGGACGGTTTGGACGCAGCAATCAAAAGGGTTGCGTGAAGAGGGTCAGTGAGTGTGTTGGCCGCTCGTTGTGTACAAACCTTGGGAGAAAATGACCCGAGGGAGGCTGAGTCAGATTGTCTGACCATATATAACATAGTATCGTAATTTGGAGTGCGAGGATCTGGCCTTTGAATAATATGCAGATTTAAAAAGCTGGATGTGTTGGCACATGCCTCTAATTCCAGCGCCTGGGAGGTAGGAGCAGGAAAATCAGGAGTTCAAGTCCAGACTTTGCCACATGAAACACTTTCTCAAAAACAAAACAACAACGAAATCAAAACAACCAAATAAGTAACAGCTATATAAATACATCTAAACTATGTACTGTGTACTACTCCTGACATTGTAGCTCTATCATATTTACATTAATGAGCTTTAATGATAGTTTTATCAAGGAAAATAAGTGTTATTATCTGTGTGCCACAATTTGCCAAGCCTTTAATATGTTTTCTCTCTTGAGTTTTACAGTCATTCGCTGAAGGTATCATTATGCCCATTTCACAGATTAATAACTCGAAGCGTTCATATCCTTTTAACTTTTAATTTGTTTCATTTTGCGAAGATGTTCAGTGTGCATGTATGCTGGGCTGACTTCAAACTCTTGGCACTCTTCCAGGTTTAGCATCCCAAGTGCTAGGATTACAGGAGTGAGCCCCAGTCCTGGAAGGAGCATGTATTTCTGGTGTTTTTGATTGTGAGCCTAGGCCTTAACGACTGAACCATCTTTCCGGCCCAGGAACATCTGTTTTTAAGAAGTAATTTATCTAAAGTTGTAACGAGTACTGAAACAGTATTCAGGTTGAGGGTGTAGTCTTATGCAGCTTTTCTTCTCCGTCATTGCTTTTATTACCCTTACTGTTTTGCTCTTGCCTTCAAGGGAGAACAGACATGAAATCCTATGTCATCACAAAAGACAAACTGAATGACCATTCAAGTTATTCAGCCATCTTTCAGGATTACAGTATGTGTTTTGGATAATAATTGAATTTGGGGAACCACCGTTGTAGCTGTGGTAACTGTCAGTCCTGCAAAGCTATCTTCTTTTTTAATTAATTAATTTTTCTTTTTATCTACTCACCTACCTATCTACTTACCTATCTATCCATCTGTCTCTCTATCTTCCTGTCTACCTACCTGTCTATTTTGTTTTTCAAGGCAGGGTTCTCTCTGTAGCCCTGGCTGTCTTGGAACTTGATGTATAGTCCAGGTCGGCCTTGAACTCAGGCTCCACCTGCCTCCGTGTCCTGAGTTCTGGGATTAAAGACGTGTGCAAATACTGCTGGGCTAAAAGCCATCAGCCCATATTGATTCAAACTTCTTTTTATTTGAAAAGATTGGAAGGACCAGGGGGAAGGGAAGAGAGTCTCTTTAGATAAGAAATAGCAAGCCCCTTGATGTTCTAGAAGTTATAGAGATAAGTGGTTCCTGTTTTATATGGACTATACAGATAACAGTGCAAGCTGAAACTGGGCTAATGATATTTTATTTGTTTGGGTGTTTATGTGGCGGAGGGGGTGTATACACGCTACACTGTATGGCGGTCAGAGGATGACTTGCGGAAGTTAGTTCTTCCCTTCCACCATGTGGGCTCCAGGGACCAAACTCAATTCAGTCTTGTAATTAATAGTAGAAAAGTCAGAGTTGTTCTGTGAACTTTAAAAGCTTTCATCAAACAGGGCTAGCAAGATGGCTCACTTACCTAGTACTTAGCCAACCTTGGTGGCCCGAGTTCAGCTCCCTAACCTAGACGGTAGGGAGAACTCACTCGCACAAGTAGTCTGACCTTTCCCATGCCCTCCGCCACCACATACACAAGCGTGTTTTGTTTCTCTGTGAAATGACTTATTATCAAGTGTAGCGTAAACAACACTTGCTTTCTCATCGTGTAACTTGGAGTGAATGCTTTCCCAATGCTTTGACAAGGCCTCTCTGAGTTTGGACAGTCTTTTAGCATTTTATTCTCTGCGTTTTTTTGTATTGTGAAATAGCTCCCAAAGTTCCTTTAATTAGAATTGACTTAGTTTTGTTCTTTGTTGGCTGCTATTCTTCTGGGTTATCTTCCTTCGTTTTCCCCACAACTGTTGTGTTCAATGTGTTGATAAGTTTGCCTTAACTGAGTTCCTCAGGCAGTAACTCTAAAGCCTCTTCAGTGACAGCGGCATCAGCGTTTCTGTAATGCGTCTTTCTGTGCTGCCAGCCCCCGGAGACTTCTTGCTGGTTATGGAAGCCTGGCCTTAGCTTAGGCTTGTTCCTAACTGGCTCTTACAGCTTAAGTTAGCCCAGTAGCTTAGGCTTGTTCCTAACTAGCTCTTACAGCTTAAGTTAGCCCGGTAGCTTAGGCTTGTTCCTAACTAGCTCTTACAGCTTAAGTTAGCCCGGTAGCTTAGGCTTGTTCCTAACTAGCTCTTACAGCTTAAGTTAGCCCAGTAGCTTAGGCTTGTTCCTAACTAGCTCTTACAGCTTAAGTTAGCCCATTAATCTACGTTCTGTCGTGTACCACCCATGCTGCTTCCTCTGTGTCTCTTCGCATCTCTCTTGCGTGCCCAGATTCCTCCTCCTCCCTCTGCCTGGAAGTCCCGCCTCTACCTCCTGCCTAGCTACTGGCCGGTCAGCAGTGCACCTCCACTCCATGTACAGACATCCCGTAGTACATCTCCATGGTTTTCTGTTTCTCTCATAACTCTGTTTACACTGGTTTGCAATTTCTGTTGACTGGAGTTTGTTTCTCTGCTGCCCTTTCCCCACTGTTGACCAGTTCCCTCTTGTCACCAGGAGAAGAAGATAAAACTCAATCATATGCTTTGCTCTCTGTACATGGACTGAATAACAGATATTAAATGACTTTGAAAATAACCAGCTTTGAAAGAATTAACTAAGTTGGTCACTAAAAAAAGTTTATGTGATTATGTATGGCTTAAAGATCTAACAGTGAAGTTCGTAGTTAATTTTTTGGATTAGTATTATTTCATTCAATTCTGGCAAACTAAGATAAATACATATTGGAACTCTGCTGAGTGAAGATGCCTATATAT